ATAATCAGTGGTGTTAAAGGGATAGTTCGCCCAAAACTGACAATTCTGTCATAATTAACATACCCTTTAATTTTGACTTCTGTTGAACACAAAAGAAGATATTTTGAAATAAGATGGAAACCTGTAACTATTTCTATCATAGTATTTTTTTTATCCAGCTATCGAAGTCAATGTTTTTTTTTTCAAATATATATTTTAGATAAGGATATGGAGCCACTTGAGGGTTGGAAAGAAGTAAATTGACATTTTTGTGCATTTTTGTTTGAACTATCCTTTTTAAGTCAGGTTTAGAGTCCTACAATAACAGATTTAGACAAAAATGTACAGTATTCACACTGTAACAAAATGGGATTCTTCATCAACTTCAATGTTAGAAACGTACCATTGAGCTAATGTTAGGTATAAAGTCCTTCATTCAGCCCAAAACTATTTCTTGTCCGATGATGTGCACTTATTTAAGTCCTGAACTCAAATCCTTAAACTCAAATACATCTTAATCACAAGACAAAGCAGTTTTTTTCTTCTTCATGATGGTAGTAAACACGATGGGTGAGCTTTCATTTAATGTAAAACTCTTCCCTTGACTTCACAGTTCGCAGTGTCTCATTCCCTTCCTTTACCAGTGTCAGTAAACTCATGATTAATGGCCATATTTCCCGCTAAATCAAGATGTTTCGAATTATTTACAATGTTTGTTCTGTCAGCCGAATGTCCAGGCTTCCAGGTCCAGAATGGTGAAATCGTTGGTCTCCGACAGACTGCAGTTGTTGAAAGTGAAACAAGGGCTGCTCCTGCCCAAAAACAACCTCTCATCCACCCACAGACCGAAATGACCACTGAAGAGAAAAGAGGCAAGTGAAATTTACAAGTAAGCTTAAGTGTTGAAGTCTGAAATGATCATAAGTCATTTGTTTTGTATTTGACAACAGGCAAATTGTCAAAATGTTCTATATATTATCATCTGATTTCATGAAGGTGATGCTATACTAATAAATCCATCACACACACGTGCTTTCTTTAGAATATTAATATGCACTACCTGACAAAAGTATTGTTGTAAGAGCAACAAATAATAACTTGACTTCTAGCTGATCATTTGGCAGAAGGTAGATTTTTCTGATGAATCATCTGTTGACCTGCATTCGAATCATCACAAACACTGCAGAAGACCTATTGGAACCAGGAAGGACCCAAGATTCTCACAGAAATCAGTCAAGTTTGAAAATAATGGTTTGGGTTTGCATTCAGTATGGGGATATGCGAGAGATCTGCAGAGTGGATAGCAACATCAACAGCCTGAGGTATCAAGACATTTGTGCTGTCCATTACATTACAAACCACAGGAGAGGGCAAATTCTTCAGCAGGATAGCACTCCTTCAGCCTCCACATCAAAGTTCCTGAAAGCAAAGAAGGTCAAGGTGCTCAAGGATTGGCCTGTCCAGTCATCAGACATGAACATTATTGAGCATGTCTGGGGTAAGATGGAGGAGGAGGAATTGAAGATGAATCCAAAGAATCTTGATGAACTCTGGGAGTCCTGCAAGAACGCTTTCTTTGTCATTCCAGATGACTTTATTAATAAGAGATTTGAGTCACTGCAGAGATGTTTGGATGCAGTCCTCCAAGCTCATGGGAGTCATACACAATATTGATTCTTCCACTTCACCAGGACTTTATATTCTATACTGTACATTATTTCTGTTAAGTGACAAGATTTTTGTCTAAGCAAAGTCAGACATTACTGTCCTAAATAAATAATAAAAGAATCATGGCATGATCATATTTTGTTTTGATAAAATAGGCATAATCTAGAGGCCTTTGCCTTTCATATAAGCCACTTCAGACACCAAATTATAAACTAAAAGTCAAGTTATTATTTGTTGTTTCTAAAACTTGGATAAGCTACAAGACTTTTGTCAGGTAGTGTTTATCTGCACTTGCAAAATGGTACTGTACCTTCCTCCTCCAATGGCAAAAGAGTCCAAATCTCCTTTGATGAAAAAGGAGTTTTCACCAGTCCACTTGAAACACTTAAAGAAAAAATAAATAAATGTAAAATCTGTTAGTTTAAAGCATATTTACTACAGATTTCTATAAAGAAATTGAATCTCATTGAAGGCCTGTCCATTTGTTTAACCTCAATGAGTTCATTATACAATCTGCCTAGTTTAACAACAGCACTAACTCCAGAGCTATTTTTCACAATGGAAATTTAAAATAGGTCTTTGATAAAGTGTGTTGAGCTGTAAACTAATTCAAGCAGCTGAACGTTGAATCTCAACAATACAAACCGCGAAGCAAACAAATGCATGAAAACATTTCAAAATAGAAAATTGTTCAAGACTAATAGCTTCAATCCCACAATGCCTTGCGAATCACAGCAATCAAATACAGAAAATAGACAGTATATTAAAGGTTAGATATTAAACTTTTATTTGCAAAACATCTACACATTTTGGACAAGGTGTCCAAACAAAAGCATTTAGTTTCTTTAATTTTATCCCTCAACATTTACTGGAGTACATTTAGAATGCGATCCAAACTCAAGTGTGTCTATATATATATACATATATATACTTATATATTTTTTATTTTAAAAAATTAAAATTAATCAGCGTGAGCTGAGTTAAAGATCTCTTTGCATAGAGCCACAATGGCAACTTATTGTTATGAATCTGTTTTCGTTTGGAGAATATAGACGTTATAATATATCTGGAACCCAACTATTGTGCTCAATGTAAATGTACTGGGATTTACCTTAAAGCGTGGGTGAGACAGGAACAGGAAGGTCTCTCCAGTACCATAAAATGCATCACTGGGATGTAGCGGGTGTGAAAGAAAGCTCCCAAAAACCTGAGGGGAAGTTCAAACCACTCAAAGAGCTAATATACATTGACCAAATTAAATAAACTGACCAATTTAAACTGATGAGTTGTGGGGAATCTTTTTTAATCAAATGAAATGTAACCCTTGTTCATAAGATGTCCACTCTGACCAGAGCTGTGAATAATGACTAGGGCCGAACAGAATCTGTGGACATGTTTTTGGTATTTCTGTGCAGAATTTTGTAATTTAGAGAGTACAGTAACTAAAAACTTACCACATTAAATAAAAAATAATTACTTTTATTTAAGGTTTATAACGCAAATACAGTTAAATCAACTTGTTTCGTAAACAAAGCAAGTCTCTCATATATCTACTAAAACCCATTAAATATTACTTTACAAACTGTAATGTAAATAAACTATATAACCGTTTGCATAATAATCAATAATATTAAGAAATTTTATATAAAACTGAATATGTTCACACAATGGTAGACTAAAAAAATATGTATAAATCTGCAAGCAATTTCCATGTGGGCCTAATAATGACTGACCTGCTGGTTGTGGTCCTTGATGAGAATCAGCACAGGTGAGTCCGTGGCGCTGAGTTTCCTGTAAAGAGTCTTGAGGCTGGCACCATGTTTGTCTGTGCTGTACGACAGCTGCCACGTGTATCCAATTGTACGTGGAGGAAGCTCTCTGGAGATCTGAGAGAAGAGTCATATAGCGCATATCAAACTCTCTTAACTGGACAACCTGACTCAGAGTCTCCATTCAGAGAGAGTTGTGCTGTGACTTTGGCTATGTGCAGGTGCATACTGACCTCTTTAACTTGTTGAGCATCCAGTATGACACTCTGGCTCAGTATGTAACTCAAACTATCTGGTTCAGTAGAGCCTGGAGCTTTCAGCGCACTCTCCTCCGCTGACACAATCTGTACAGGAACAATGTGTGCATGACAAACCACCACTGTTGTAAGCTTTAGGTCAACTACTATAAAATATTATCTCATTAGGATACAAGGATAAAACCAGTACATTTAAAGAGTTATACAGTTGCAAAAAGACTATTACTTCTAGAAAGATGTTATATTCATTAAAGAATCTTTAAAAAAGTAAAAGTTTATAGACAAACTTTATGGTGTCTTGAGAAAGCCTAGCCTGAAAGTTTGAAGTAGTTTTAAACTTAAAATCAATGAAGTAGTTAGAAACAGTCGGCATACATAGATAAGTACATGTTTTAGTATGTTTCTAGTATGGATTGGCATGTTTCTTACTAGGGTGTTCTGAGTGGTTACTAGATGTTGCTAGGCGGTTGCTGGGGTGTTCTAGGTGGTTGCTAAAGTGTTCTAATTAGCATGTTGCTATTATGATTAGTATGTTTGTTAGTATGTTTCCAGTATGGATTGGTATATTGCTATTATGAATTGCTGTTGTTAGTATGTCCAATGTAAAGCCAATGGCAGTTTTTTTATTATGGAAGTCAATGGGACAGTTGCTAGGGTGCTGTAAGTGATTGCTGGGATGTGGCTAAAAATTTTAAAATGATCAGTGATTGGTAGTCTAAGATAAATGAGCCCACACTTAAGCTTGTATAACAGTCTGGCGTAAAGTTATGAGGTCACAAAGTTTGGTCCAATGTTAAGTCAATGGGACTTTTCCAAATTTTCCAGGTCAGTTTTCAGAAAAACCGTAAGTCTGATCGGTTAAAAAAGATTTAGCAACCCGAGTCAGACCAGTTTGTAAGAGAAGATGCATATAGAAATTAGTCTCCGAGGAAGAACAAGACAGAAAAATAGTAAGTTTAGGTAGTATAACAGTATGTTGGCTTTCTCAAGCCACCATAATAAAACCGATTAAGGTTTTTACTGCAGTATAAAAATCTTACCAAACATAAAAAGTGCTGATGCTGTAACTACACCCTGCTATGTAATTAAAACAGCTGTTGTCACCATATAAGTACATTCAATTTCCATTTTGCTGGCTCTTATTAATCCTTGTGGTGTACTTAATTTAAGGTAAAACCTTTTAATAATGCATGTAGTTTGTGGACTCATTAAGGTATGCAGTGTAGTTTCTAATCTATTAAACTGAACTCTAATACCACATAAAAACTGATCATATTCTTTGACCTGTGTTCACTTCGTGTCTCCACATAGCAGCAATACACAAATGAGTTTTGAAACTTTATTAAAAATAAAATCATACTCCAGTTCAGTTTCAACAGTTTTTTTCCATGTTTAATAAAAGATGACTAACAGATACTTTTACAATAGTTTTAAAGTATAAATAAAACTATTCACAATTGTAATGCTGTGCAATCTCTATTTGCAAAATGGCCATATTCAAGAAAATAATCTTTCTGTAGTTCAGTCTTCAGTGAATGCTTTCAGTTACTTGTTGGTTCGCTCAGCCTCATATAGCATTTGATATATCTTGAACTTAACCTCGGATTTCATCCGAGGGTCAATTTTGGCCAACATGTCCACGACGACAGAAGCGAATCTGAAATCCTCACTGTCCTGATGTGGGGTCTTCTCCCGTGTCCATTCCATCTGCTCCAGCATATTCAACAAGCAAGCTTCAGAGGTGGACTTCCTTTTAGGCATCAATTCTGAAGAAGATGGTGAGGCATTGGGACTGGGTGAGATATTTGGGACAGAGAAAGCTGAAACTAAACAAGGCGAGGGGTAACATTTGGACGATGGACAGGGTGGAGGCGGTGTGGACGAGGTAGCAGGAACAAGAGTAGATTGAGTAGGGAGAACAGGAGTGGATGGAACTGGCGATGATGGCATGAGGGACAGAGGTGAAGGGTTGTCTGAAGTCCCAGTCTCTGATGTTCCTGATGCTGAGGACATCTGTAAGTTGTCTGTCTTCATGAACTCCTCAAACGTGACTCCTTTACATCCATCCTTAATGGAGAAAGCACTATTACATTCAGGTCTAAACAGCACAAATTGTAAACATACAAAAAAATAGATTTGTTTTTACAAATATCCCCATATAATACAATTAGGCATGGGACGATAACAGTTTTTAAGGTATACCACAATTTGGAAAAGCTTTAAAACAGCCAAAATTTTCTGTTATACCATTCCTACGGTATATGTAAGATTTCTTTTTATTTTATTTTCATTTTTTAGGACAACAGTATCAAGACAAAGATGTCAAAAGAGGCTGTTTTAAATTGTACAGACATTAGTTTGAAACTATTAAAGACACCAAAAGTCAATGATTCATCTGAATTATTTAGCCTGACATATTTACTGCTCTAAAATATTTTAAATGTCTCTTAAAGTAAAATGTATGATGTTCAAAGGGGAAAAGGTATCTGTTTTACCCAGACATTTAAAAATAATATATTTTAGAGCAGTAATTGTGAAGTAAAACCATAATAAAAAAACGTGATATTTTTATTCATAGTTATCATACCGTCAGAATCTCATACCAGCCCATGCCTAATTACAATCTTGAATCAATATATTTATTAATTATCTCTATAGTTTGAAAGCCACTATAAATAATTTATAGTTTTTAGATTGACCGAGGCAGATTTGAATGCGATCAGTGTATTCATGCTAGTTTAAAAGATTGTTCACCTAAAAATGAAAATTCTATAATCATTTACTTGTTGTTCCAGTACTGTACACATTTCTTTGCTCTAAATATATTTTGCTCTAAAGATATTTATAAGCATGTCAGTTAATAAACAGATCATGAGACCCAGTAAGTGAAAGGCTTCCCAAGCCATGCCCCCTTGTTTACTTTCTGACAGAACTTAAGAAGATTTTTACAGTACGACTGTATAAAGTCTATTGATCACATAAATCATACAAGACAACATGATACAATTTAATCAGCTAGAACCGGGTGTACTTAATTAAATAGGAAGCTAATAATCTCCAGGCAGTCACGTTACTAATAAAACAACTTGCGTTGCTTACCTTCGCATTCAGACTTTTTTCTCGATGTTTAACATATTGGCACAACCACCCCAACTCTGCCACGATCTTCCTGTATGAGCCTGGATCCTTGCTGTTCGTGTGGATCTTCCTCTTGATCCGCACAAACTTGTCTCTTAGATTTTTCCACGCTTTACGGCACACCGCTTCGTTCTTCCCCGTGGCGGCGGAGATATCGTTCCACGCACTTTGTGTCAACTCAAGGTCACCATGATCGTGCAGATTCGGGTCATAGATGATCCTGTGTCGCCGTACGTTCTCCGCCAACGTCTTCTCGAAGTTACTTAATTTCATTTTAGCTGCGAAAACACGATAAACATCAACGCGCAAAGGCTCCTGGACACTGCGATGACGTCACTGCTGTGCGCGGACGCGAGTGTTTGAGGTTGAGCTGCAGTTCTCCACTCTCACGACCGAAGGCGCTGTGGTACCTGTAAAACAGCCTTTTCTTTTTCGATGAATATAACTTTTTCACAGTAATTGGGCTGGCCTTCTTATCTAGTAAGTACTTATAGTCATTTCTTATTTGTAAAACAGCTATAGGTTCTTTAAGATACCAATAGGTATCCTCTAATCATCTTGGTCTGTTAAGGTATTTTACACATACATTTTAAAATCATAATGTATGAACATTTATCATCTTGTATATAATGAGAATAAACAGATATATCTGAGAGGATAAAATACGCATGTACGCAAGAGGTGACCCACTGTGTCTTGTAAGGCCAGCAATCTAAAGATAATATAAGATAAAGGTGAACGAATGTTTCGGGTTTGTAAAAATTCTTCAAGGAACAGCAGTAATATTGTAACATTTAAAATGCTACTTTAATGCACAGGAAACATTGTAATGTATGTAATTGCAGAAAACATCATAAATGTTGAAAACAAATTTGCTGAATAAAGCAATAGCATCTGCAACATGTAAAATTATAAATGATTTTGTTGTTAGTTTTGACACATTTTGTGGTAAGAGAGAATTTTGAGGTTATTGCTATATCAACTTCTCTGGCTATATCATGGCAAAAAAGTATAAAGTTTACCACATTTCATATATAACACTTTTCTAAAATTATACAAATATTCTAACAATTAAAAGTCATGAACAGCAATAAATTATACACAAGATAAAATACATAAATAATAATAATTATAATATTATTTTAAGGGGCAGTAGGTGATTGTCTAAAGAAACATGTCGTATGTTTCAGATTCGGACTTCTGCGCATTTGTTCACGCAGATCTGCCATTCGCGCGTGCCCGTCTATCAAATGCTGAATTGAAACTTTTAAAAACCTGAATCAATATTTGAGTTACTTTAGCACGCTGGAGGAAGGACGACACCATGGCTGAAGTATTACTGTTAGACAGGTAATGTTCTGTTTTAAAACTATTTTAGTCAGGTTAAGATATGTTAGATTGTGTTGTGTTATGAATGACCTATATGCACAGACCTGTTGTTCAGCCACTGAAATCTCCAGGTGAAAGATTGATGTGATTATTTTCAGTTTCATAAGGTCCTTTTACAGCATCGATAATAAAGATTTTTATTTAGTTTAACAACAAAACATCAGTAAATAGCGCTATTCCGCCTAACCTGCTTTATTGAGCTGAAGTTGCTTTTATATTCACATTGGGTAATTTTTGAACAATGACAGCCTTCCTATACTGTTTACCATGCTACTCTGAATATTCACTGTAAATAGCATGTAAGTGTGGCTAAGTAATAAATGTAATTCCTGCACGGCGCTGGCTAAACACTAACTAACTGGCGAAGACATGAACTAGTGGGTTGGCTGCCTGCTGTTGTGACGCAGTGCACGCGCTCGCGATTTCAGGGGGTTAGACTTTGAATCACAGTCCTTCCCCACCGTCCAAAGATAATAAGCTAAGCGGTTAGCATTTTTTATCAGATCAGCTACAGCACCTTTAATAAAATGTACAAGTTTAGAAGGATTCACATTAAAATATATTTCAAGAGTTCACACTTAGCTGATGATTAATTATAAAAGCTTGTTTGGCATGCTGTCCCAGGAGAGAGCCCTGAGCTCATAGGATCCTCGAGCCCAGGTCTCCCTCCTGTTGCAAGGCGGGAGGGGAGTTTGAGCTCAGGTAGATCTCGAGAACTCCCCTGCTGTAGTAACCAATGAACAGTAAGTGATTGCTCTTGAAGGTAACTCCGTACTAGAAGCATATCTATGGTGCCAATTTAGATTATTCAATAAAAAACTTAATTGCATGTTTTTAGGCAGTGGGAGGAAACCGGGGAACCCGGGGGAAACCCACGTGAGCACGGGGAAAAGTGCAAACTCCACACAGAAATGTCTGCTGGTTTGGTAAAGCCTGGAACCAGAGACATTCTTGCTGTGAGGCAACAGTGCTATGCACTGGGCCACCGTGTCACCCATCTAAGAAGGAGGAGTAGGGGTGGAAGGGGGGACTCTTCAAAACGAAGATAGCAGTGGAATGAAACCCAGGGTATTTATAGTAGTTTAGGAGTCATCTGATTGGAGCGTACTGAATTGGATAATGCGGATCCAGCCGCTAGCAATCATAAGCACGTGATCCTCTCGAAATTTGTTTATACATAAACTTCACTTAATTAAAATTTTCTCCAGATAAAAAAAATGATGTCTAAAAACATTAAACACAGGGCATTCCACAAGAATGTGTTTTATAGTTTGGTTTCTGTTACAATATTGACATTTTTTTTCCTCTCATTTTGTGGTAAACAGGGGCAGATTTAGTGATTTTTGGGTCCTAAGCAATTCCAGCTACGGGGCCCAAAAGTAAAAAAATGCACCTTTTAGTGTTTATTTTTTTATTATTATCATTTTGCAGATTTTTTTCTTATATCATTCCATCTTCTTTTCTACATTTTATCTTAAAGCAAAATAATAATAACATGTAAAGCATGTAAAAAACCTTTGTAACGATTTGTTTTCTTAGATGAAATTCTTTACGGATTTGATTGCTGGACTGGTCCATGATTGAAGGTGGGGGAGCCTCACTATACAAAATATTATTGAAAACAATGTTGTATATATTTCATAGGTATTGTTTATATTCCTAGGTATTTATTTGGAAGCCTTCAGATTTCCTGGGGCCCTAAGCGCCCGGTTAACTTGCTTATTGGTTAAATTCACTCCTGGTGGTAAAGCAGTTTGACTTTCTGTTTTTTTGAGCCAGTCTTTTGTGATTTTAAAATGTTTGTCAAGGCTGTGGATTAAAGGTAACAATGTTCTAACAGACTCTTTTTGCCTCAATATATTGTCAGTAGCCACTGGATATCTTTTTGTTGTTGTTTTGACTGTATATGATTTTTTTACTCTCAAAGTGCTTGTGGCAGCTGACTTGGATTTAATAACTCCAATGACTACAATTTAAGCAAAAAATCTTCTTTAACTGAAGACAAGTAGGTATCTACTTCTTGGATCCCTTGAAGGTGAATAAAATAGCAGCAGATTCATTTCTAAGTACTATGAACTACCCCTTTAGGAGTATTAAAGGGTAAAGATTATTAAATGTCTCTATTTACAGATACATACAGTCAAGCCCGAAAATATTCATAAACCTTGGGCATGAATAACTTCAGTGCTTGACTGTATATTTACAAAGAGAGTTTTTAGTGTTATTAAAGTTAGAGAAATCAATTCCTGCATATTCTACATGTTCTACATCGTTTTCAAATTATTTATTTGGTTTGCATTCTCTCAATTTACTTGTTCAATCTATATCTATAAAACTAACCTCCCAGTCCTCTCCAGTGTGGCTTGCTCGTGGAGACTCATCTTCTTCTTCCTGCTCCTCTTCATCCAGAAGCACAAAATCCTCTTCATCACGCTCTGCCTCGTCCTCCTCATCTCCCTCCAGGATGCACAGGTCAGGCCGATGTTGACTCAGGTAAGCGTACAGCTCATCTGACCTACAGACAGAGAGAAGGAACAACACAGAGAGATTAAGCACTGTGAACTGTGACACTTTTCATTTCACCAAGAAGGCCGGTCTATGTCAATGATCCACAATATTTTCTTCAAGAGACCTCTATTTAAAAAACTCTAAAGCCTTTTTTACCCTTAAGTTAGACAAAATATGTTTAAACTGTTTTTTTATTTTTGTAAACTGCTAAATCTGCATGAATATTTAAATAATAACATTAATAATGGTGGCCAGATTTTAGATTAACAAAAAAAAAATGTTTATCCAGTAACATTACATAAAATTGCTACATTTTTTCAATAACTCCGGCACACATTTACGCAGTATACAAAAGTAAGATTCAAAAAAATATTTATTATTTTATTATTTATATATAAATTATTATAAATGTAATAATAATTCTTTAATCATAAAAGTTGATTTATTTGTACCCTTCAAATTAGATTGAGTTTAGTGATCCTTAATGCATGTTAGGACCCCTTAAGTACCTTTCCTGCTGCATGGTGAACCAGGCGTCTCTAGATGCAATTTTAGATTTAGAAAAAGCCCTTTTCTTCCCATGCTGCAGTTTCTGTCGAATTCTCACAAACATCAGAGATCCGTTTATGCCACAATTTGATGTTGAAGTGCATGGATCTGCTAAGTAAAGAGAGAGATATCTAAAAGCATAAGGTGATGAGTAAAAAGATAACTTTTTTGATGAAGTTCTTTAGTTTACCTAATAACTGTCTTTCCCAATACGACTGCTGTTGGGTTTTGTCTGAGTGTTCAAATGGGTTGTTTCCTCTCTGGACGCTGTCTGGTCCTCCACAGCAGAAAGTAGCAGCCGCAGTTAGCATTCCTCCGGATTGTAGAGTCAGCTGTCTCTCAGCTTCGGCCATGTCTCCAGTCTCTCCACTTTCCTCATCCTCTACTTCAGCTTTCGCACTCGGAGCTGCTGTGGGATCACATGAAGCAGGAGCAGGTATGTCCTCTAATGCCGAGTGGTGGGGTTTCTTGTTGCTATGCGTTTTGCTCTTTGATGTCTTAGAACTGTTACATCTGGAAAACATAAGGTTAAAAAATAAGATCTGCATGGGATAAATCTCAACTCAATAGTTGTGAAATTATTTTGATTTCAATATGTCTGTAAAAAGATTGTATTTGTATATAAACTACTTTTGCACTAAATGAAATGTGATTTTATGTAAAGAATGTTAAAAATATGGCAATCATTATGCTGTCCTTAAAAATACAATTAAACAATCTAAAAGCTAATTTAAAGCTCAGTTACAGTTTTGTTTTTAAAAATATATATTTTTCTACCTTTTAAGGGAACTCAAATAATTTTTAAAAATGAAAGGGATAGTTCACTTAAAAATATAAAAATTTACTTACTGTTTGCTCTTCTTCAAATGGTTCCAAACCTATTTGAGTTTGTTTCTATATTCTGTTCAACCCTAAAGTTGATATTTTGAAAACCAAAGCTATATTGAAAAAACAAGTACTACAGCAGTCAATGGTTACAGGTTACCAGCTTTCTTCATAATAAATTGTTTTGTGTTTAACAGAAGAAAGCCAAACGGGTTTGAACAAGTAATTAAGAATAGAATTTTCAGTTTTGGGGTGAACTATAAAGGGCACCTATTATTCCTCATTTTACAAGATCTAAAATACATCTCTGATCTTTTTTGAGTGTAAATGTGACATTTCAGCAAAAAATACAACACAAATAATGTTTTATAACTCTTTGAAACTGACTTTTTAAGGCTTCTGGTTGCTTTAATTGTGCCATTTTTGTGACTGTCGCTTTAAATTCAAATGAGATTGTGCTCCCAGCAATTCAAAAGTAGGTGGAGCTACAAATGCCTGTGTGCCAGCATAGTGAAACATTGAAAACAAGACTAACTCCTATGCTAATGAAATAGAGATTGTCAATAATGGGCGGGGCTTTCCCCCTTCTGATGACATGTACAAAAAGAGAATGTCAATCAAAGTGTTTGTGCAGACTGTTTTTATGAAATGTGATCATACAAAATAAAATTAATACTTTTTTTACCATTAGAACCTGCTTATATTCACAGACTGCTGCCACACAACTGTGTTTAAACCCCTTATAAAAGTGTTTTTTGCATAAATGGACCCTTTTAATGACATTATAAATTGTAG